TTTTTTTTTTTTTTTTTCTGCTACTATTTCTCTATACTTTATGTACCAACAATTTTTATCGTGAAAAAAATGCGAAACTAAACTTTTTCTTTTGAAAATAAATTGCCAAAGACTACAGTAGACCCAAACTTTAAACTTAAATCTAAACGTAGAAATAATGTGAACCGGCATCCATTGCTTGGAAATTATTCTAATATACCGGAATCTCAACGGCGATGACAGTTTCCGGGCAATATAACGGCTGTGTACTTTTGAGTGCAAATTATTGAAATGTTAAGCAGAAATGTGTCTAACAAAAAAATAATTACAGTGAAGTTTTTTCAATATTTCAATAAAAGAGAAGTAGAAAAAAAATTTTTTTTTTTTGTAAAACTTTTGCAGCAACAAATTTGGCTGGACGACTACAGTGGTGGTAACTTTGTGGGTTTCGACCACTACGTGAACTCTGATTCTGATGTGATAAAAAGAAGTGCAGCCTTCGGTCGAGCACATTTTCGTCCTGGGAAACGCAGCAACGATTACATAAAGTTAGACACTGGGTTTTTAGACGATGATAAATCAAAACGATCAGTCGTAACCGGCAGAGCTCGTTTTAGGTTGGTTTAAGCTATTGAAAAAATTAATTGACTTAGTTTGCAACAAAAAATTACTGAGATAAACTGCTTTGTAATTTGGAAAAAGGAAAAAAAGTCAAATTATTTTTAAGCTTTTGCAATTGTTTACGGGTTTTACTGTAAGATTGATAAAGGTATTTTTGATACATCACATTATTACTATTTTATTTTCTAGTAATTTGTACTTTGGAAAATTCTTTATTGTAACTAATTTTACGTTCCAAAAAAGCCTATTTTAAACTGAGAAACTTTTTGGTTTATACCTTTAGTTTGCTGACAACAAAACGCTATCATCAGATGAAAGAAATATTAAACGAAAAATATAAGCACTTAAAAAAATTTGAAGATGATAGTAAGGAAAATCTAACTGCCAAAATGCTTTAACTGGTTTTACTTTGAACTTAAAAAAATATATTAGTTGCTTAATTAAACGATAAAATTAACAGTACAACAGCTGCTAAATAACAAAAAACAACTATTCTGTGTAAAAACTGTAAAATTTTATTTGTAGACCTGCCAAACGGGCCGTATTGTTTCCGGAATGGAACCAATACTTCAAAACAAATGTAAAGAGGTTAGTGGCCACAGGTCGGGCACATTTCCGACCAGCGAAACGCTATTCGGGATTCCCATTAGCTGCAGGACACGATTTACTCATGTAAACAGATTGCCGACCAGTATAAGAACTAAGCTCTTTGTCAGCAGAGCTATAAGATCAGTCGTCGTGTTCTGTCTGTTCAGTGATTAATGGTGATCTGCATAAATATTTCCTGGGTTTGAACTGTTTCATTTTATTTGTTAAACTACGATCAGTCATGTATGGTTCAGCTAAACAGCAATAAAGGTTAAAGACTCGTGTAATTACATAAAAATCATAAGAAGAAAAAAAAAAAGGTGTAACATGTTTGAATATAGTTTTTTCTAACAATTTCTTATCGTCCATCTTAGTCGTTTTCCTAAGCATTTGAACATTTACAGCTATTGTATCAGCAAAAGTTTTGTAAGAAAAAAAAAATATTGAACTATAAAATACAGTATAATTTATTATTAATTTATTATCTGCTAAAGACGTTTTAAACTCTTTTTTTTTAGCTTATAATTTTGTTTTTTTTTTTATACTTTTTATTTCCTTCTTTTTTTTTTCCACACACAATTTTTCGTAAAAATAATAAGTGTCAAAATGATTAATCATAAGCAGCGTAATAAATTATAAGTTTTTATCAACAGTATCAATTCTCATTTCAAATTTGCTGCAAATTGCATTAGGAAAAAGCCTTTCTTTCCTCATATTTAATTATAATAGTTGAAACTTCAAAAAAAAAAAAAAAATTTTTTTCCGTTTGTTTATTCAGACAAATTAAGAGATTAAAAAAATAAATTAAAACTTTAAAATCTAAAAAAAAATTTCTGATAGAATTAAACAGTTAATGGGAAAAGAAATTAATCATAAATTTTTGTGAAAGCCGTAAACTGGCCATAAACTATTCGAGAAAGAAAGCGCACCCTTCCAAGTGCTAAAATTCTTCAAAAAAAACTTTTTTTTTGCCGTTTTCTAATCATTTATGCACAACTAGAAGATAAATAAATCCTTTACTGATGACAATTTTATCAACTTTTTTTCTTCCGTATTTGATTTCAAATTTCTTCTTTTTTTTTTTTTTAGCAAAAAATTGTCACTGCAAATTCAGTGTTCATCCCATATGATAATTATACCAGTTTGTTATAAACTGTGATGTATTGCATAATACTTTGAAAAGCTATAAAATTATCCAGCAAACTGTAGTGAAAAGTATAAACTAATTTCAATTGTAGTTTGTGCTCAAAAATTCCTACAACTGTATTCACATTGTCGTCGATTTGACAGTGGTGGTCATTGTTCAACAATTATTTTTGCATTTTTACAGCTGTCGAATTGTTGTTAAATAAACAGAAGTATACATCAATTTTATTCCCTGTCTCTGCTTGTTTTCTTCTCTTTTGCTCGGCTTAAAAATTAGATGTTTCAAAATTTGATGTCAGTTCCTAACAAAAACAAAAAAAAAAAAGATAAAAATCTACAAAAACATTTTGATTCTTATTTAATTTAACTTTAAAAAAAAAAAAAGGCAAAACAAAAATGGATACTTAAACTGTTAATTATTTTATACAATATAATGTTGCTTTTGTCATTTTGGCATCTGTAAACTTATTTGACAAAAATAACAAACAAACACGGAGAGGAATGGGAAAAACAGTAAACTTAATGAATCAAAAGAACTGTTTGGTAATATTGTTGAGTGAAATTTTTACGATGTGAAGAAATGCCGACCAGTAAAGTGTCCATTTAAAATTCTATGCTACAGATTGATCAATTCGGCAAACATAACTTTAACATTTCTAAGAGTAAAAAAAAATTCAAAAATTGATCTGAATACAATTTAAATTAATGTATACTGTAAAAAAAATA